AGAAGCCAAAACAAACAAACTTGTGTATAGATAACTAGTTATCATTAAGTGACTTTTTCATATTTCACATTTTTATTAACATATATTAGTTATACATATTAATGGATTTCAGTGTAGCTGTACCATTCATGCATGCAGCATGCACTGATCAAATCTAACCTCCTTTTAGTGTCTTATAAATTTCTAGCTAGCTGGGCATGGTGACACATGGTTATAAATCCCAGATACTCAGGAGGCTGAGGCAGAAGGATTCCTCAGCAAGTTACTGAGACCATATTTCAAAATAAAAAAGGGTCAATGATTTGTTCAGTGGTAAAGTACCCCTAGGTTCAATCCTCAATACTGCCCCCCAAAAAAAAAGAAAAAGAAAGAAAAGTCTGGCTGTAGTTCTGGTAAACTGAAATTGGCAATTAAATGTATATGTTTTCATGTAAACACCCAGTAGTAAAGATGCTTAGACATTATGATATTCTGAACTATTATCTTAAGTTTTAGAAGATTCCTAAACATTTAGTATAGTTTGAATAGACTCCTGGATGTTGGAGTTCTTAAGAGCTTTGGACTTTGATAAATCACTTGACCTTATTTCTTCTTGTAAAATGGAAATAATAATTGTATTTATCCTGTAGGATTATTGTGAGGCTTAAAGGAGATCATGAATATAAAAACAAATTTAGCGTGGATTTGGCATATAATAAGCACTCAATAGCTATTAATTCTAATAAGATAGGCTTTTTCTCTTCTCCAAACCTGATACTGCCTCATTACCACACTCCACCCTCATGCTCTGCCTAATAGTCATTTCATCTCCAGCCAGAGAGAGATCACTGCTAGGAAGGTAGAAGTGTCGTCATAATGTGGCAGTAGTCTAGGTGTCTCATCATAGTTAACAGAAAAATCTCTTGATATTCAAACCTTGGGATTACTAGATGGAATTTTTAAAAATATTTTGAGAGTTTTTCATTTTGTTTTTTTTTTGTTTTGGTGGTACTAGGGATTGAACACAAGGCTTCATGCATGCTACACAAGCACTCTACCACTGATATATATCCCTAGCCCTCGTTTTGTTCTTGAGACAGGGTCTCACTGTGTTGCCCAAGCTGACCTTGAACTTCTAGGCCCAAGGGATTCTGCTGCCTCAGTCTCCTGAGTAGCTGGGTCTACAGGTGTGAGATACCCTGCATGACTTTTCTCCTCTTTATCCAGTGTTCATGGTCTGAAAAATCCCCTTATTAACAAGCAAGATTATAAAGTTAGCCTCCATCTATGGGCTCTACATCTGTGGATTCAACCAATTGACAATATTTTTTTTTTTTTTTTTTTTTGGTACCAGGGATTGTACCCAGGGGTGCTTAACCACTGAGCCACATCCCCAGCCCTTTTTATTTTTTATTTTCAAACAGGGTCTTTCTAACTTGCTTAGGAACTTGCTAAGATGCTGAAGCTGGCTTTGAACTTGAGATCCTGTTGCCTCAGCTTCCTGAACCATTGGGATTATAGGCGTGTGCCACCATGCCCAGCTTGAAAAATATTCTTTAAAAAATTACATTAGCTGGGTGCAATGGTCCGTGCCTGTATACTAGCTTCAGGAGGCTGAGATAGGAGGAGCCCTTGAGGCCATCCTGGATAACACAATGAGGCAGGCCCCCATCTCTAAAATAAGCAGAATTGTATCTGTACTGAACACAAACAGATTTCTTCTTGTCATTATTCTCTAAACAGTACATGAACTGTATAATGTAACGACTATTGGCATAGTATTTGCATTGTATTAGGTACTGTAGATAAACTAGAGATGATTTAAAATATACAGGAGCTGAGTATGGTGCACACCTGTAATCCCCAGTGGCTCAGGAGACTGAGGCAAGAGGATGGCAAGTTCAGGGCCAGCTGCAACAATTTAGCTAAAATAGAAATTTAAAGGGCTAGGGGCTAGGGATGATATGTTTGGGGGTCCTGAAACCAATCTCCCACACATAATAAGGGACAAATTAGTATTCTTTTTATAGGCTAGATACACAAGACATTAGTACAATTTTGTCATCTCAAGAGCTATGTACAGTCAGCCATGAACACAAGCTGTATAAACATTATGGATAATATTTTTGTTGTTGTTATTACAATGCTGGGGAT